TATAAGTCTAACTATTGTTATTGTTATTGCTATTGCTATTTTTGCAGGGAGCGCCTGCATCCCTGAACTTTCCAACATGAGCACACTGTGAATTTCCCCACTCATCTTCTGCATTCTCCCTCCTTCCAACCTGACACAAAGCAGGCATAACGTGGAACTGTTGGAATTGGCAATTGCAATTCGCTTTTACTTCCCATCTCCTAATTCCCCCCCCCACTTCTACCCCACAGAGGCGTCCAAGGGTTGGTGGGCAGGGAGGACCGAGCTCCTTTTTATTTTATTTAATTATCCCCCCCCCCAAAGAAAAGCACTTTGCAATCTTCACCTCGTTTTGCACTGTTGCTTCAACAAGACCTTGCCTCTTTTTTCTTTTTCTGGTGTAAAACACACACAAAAACCCCAGTCGGTGGCGATAAGCTTTGTTGCAAGGCTGTTCTGAGGCTTTGAGAAGGAGAGACAGGTGTCACCAGCAACTTGGCCAAAAAAAAAAACGGTGGAGCTGAATATCGTTGAAATAACAATGCGGTGGTTCTTGTACAGATGTTTTCCATCTGGTGAGGCAGAGAAGGGCTTGCAAAGCCCCGTGGACTCTGCAGGGGTAGCCCCCTCCCCGAATGCCCCCGAGGAAGAGCTCGCAAGCCCCTGGGCCCCGCTCAGAGCCCTCCCACCGCCGAGAAAGGGGCCCTCACCACTTACGGGCTGGTTTCAGAGGGCGGAGACGCCTTCCGGCGGGTGTTGTCCCATGCCACCTTCTCCTGCTCAAGCCTCTGCCCTCAACTTGAACCCACATCTTCCCCTTCCTCATTTCTCCAAAGAATCTCACAAGAAGGACCAGCCCAACAGCTCAAGCGGATTGTCTCAGCCACTTCTGCTCCAGGCAGGAGGAGGGGAGGTCCTGGATTGCCAAAGTGGGCAACTTCTAACATCCGTTCCCTCTTCCTCCTTCTCTGTTTCTTAACAGTTGCCGAGTCAGGACTGGCCCCTTTCCGTCTCCTTCAGCCTTCTTGGTGACCGCCAACTGCTAACCAGCCATGAAACCTGGCCGGCTGCCCTGGCTCCTGGGATGCTTTCTGATAGCTGCAGCCGCCGTGGGCAGCAAGGTGGTGCCCAGAATGACCTTTCAGAGAGGTAAGGAGCCACATGGCAGGATGGTGCCCGGGGAAGTCATCCTTTGGAGGGCCAGGAAGGGGGATGGGGAGGGGTCAGGCAGGCAGAAACGGGTGCTGAGGACAGCTCTTCCTACCCTCCGGGTGTTGAGGAAAGCTCTTCCCACCCTCCGGTTGCCCCTTCGCAATTCAAAGTACGTTACGCCGCAACTCATTAAAGGCGACAAAGCCGTTTGCCCAACAAGTGCGGGGCGGTGGTGACACGGTTTGTTTATTTGTTATTGATTTAATTTATAACCCATTTCATTATCAAGGGACTCTGGGTGATTTTCACGAAAGCAAAAAAAGCAAAGCATTTTAAACATTTATTAAAAGGAACAGAGATTGAACAAGATATACTTAATTGTAACAATTAAAGAAGGACCAGAATTGGGACCCGGGATTTCCGTTGCTGAGTAAGGCACTTGCAGAGAGTTTGCCATGGCTGTTAGGCAAACCACTGCGGTTATTAAGTGAATCACGGGGCCATTAAATGAATCCAGATTCCCCCAGTGACTTTGCTTCTCAGAATTCGAGAGGGATGGTCTCAAATGAAGATCACACGACCCGGGCATTCTGGTTGTCAAGTGCCCAACTTTTGATCATATTACTGTAGGACAGGGGCCCCCAACCCGGAGCCATAGCCCTCACACGGGCCTTCAGCCCTTCGCAACCGGGCCACGGAAGAGGCGGGCAAGCGTGTGTATGAGGGCACGCGTCCCCACTCGCACAAGTAGCATGCAGGCATGTGTGTGTGTGTGCGCGCTCCAATTGTGCAAAGCCTCTCCCCCTCTACCCCCCCAATCTGCAAAGCGTTGCTT